ATTTATATGGACTTTTTTCATCACCGCGAGACATACGGAGCATTGATTTTCTTTTGAAAAAGAAAAAACTTTTTTCTAAAACTCGATTATTATTTTTTTTATTACGGGGACATGCGAGACTATCAGCGATTAGTTGTTTTCTTCATAGAAAGTACACAATTACTTTCATTAAACTACTTTATTACTCAAGATATAAAGATTTTGTATGATTTGTTCAGGTGTAATAGATTGATTTTCTTCTTCTATGCCATTTACATCGAGCAGGAGATCAGTGATGTAGGTTGTTTATTCGTTTATGTTTTGTTTAATAAATATTAAAAGATTTTAGAAACTCAGGTGAGTTCAATGAGAATTATTCGTATTACTTTGAACTATAAAGTGACCGATCAACGCATAAATATATGAAAAAAGTCGTTAGTTGTACATTAACATTATAGATTCCCATGTCATCAAAATCGCCAAGGTTTAGGCGATGAATCGCAATTATTTAAAATATTAACGATTAATCGCGGTATTGATAAAAAAATCGTCGATTAAGCACGATGAATCGCAATTATTCAAAATATTAACGATTAATCCCGTTATTGATAAAAAAATCGTCGATTATTCGAGATTAATCAACGATTTTTTGTACATTACTATAAAAGTGCGACCAAGTTAGTGTTTTACTTAATCTGTTAAGTTTTGACTAAGAAAAAGGAAAATAGGAATTTTGAACACTTTCTTAAGCTGCAGCAGGTTTGATAACAGCTGTCACATGTTATATAATACAAGTTTAATAGTAATTTTTTACTGATTGATATGATTTAACCGATAGAAAAAAAGATGTTGATGCTTGCTTGTTTGATATACGTGTGCGTGTATATTTTCCTATTTTATCTTACCATCTTTTAACTGTATCCGATGACTTTCCATTGCATTCATGAACTTGTCTTATTCGTTAGTAGTTCGAATTAATCACATCTATTTTATCTCCTCCGTTTGAAAATGTCTTATTTTCATGCCATACACTCGAAGAGAGTGATGGAACAAAAACTCAAATATCAACAAACGGTTTACAGCAACTCTAATAGCCATCAAAAGATATACTCATGAGGGTTTAAGTATATAGATATACCTATAAAGGTGTAGTTAAATATATATATATATTCATAAAGATACAGGCATATAGATATACCACATTCTTCTCCGTATGATCTTATATGATCATATACGCTATTAGTGTAAGATCTGATAGGCTCATGCAGGAATATGTGACTGATCTTAATATCAGATTATTCGACCTGGATTGAGATGTTAATGGGAGGGCTGAAGTGGATCGTTTGTACTAGTAAAGAAACTCGATATATCACGATAACATTGAGAAATTGTAGCAGTTTTAGTAGGAGAATTCGAAAAAAATTTCAAAATGTTTTAAATTTTTTTTAGAAAAACCAGGGGGCTTTTGATACGTCAAACACGTTGTACGTCTCAGAGGGGACTTCTATTATAGGGGAAGGGGGATTTAGTCCATCTGTTGTTATCTGGTCGGACACAGTCAACAAGATCATACCAAAACTTTTCTTAGCTATTTAGACTATTTCGTTAGAAGAGTCTTTTGAACGTAATGATAAATGAATATACATAATACGTTTAGGATATAAACGCCTTTATAAAAGATAGTGACGATCAGTAATCGCATATAAATAAAAAAAAGTCAATTTTTCAAAAATGAACGGTGGTTGGGCGAACAGCCTCGGTGGTTGGGCGACGCCCAACCTAGCCCGCCCTTGATTACGCCACTACGAAAAATGTTCTGGAGTCTATCGGTATCACATTCATCCCATACCTACACTCGTACTCAGATAAAGGTTACACAATGGAATCGTAAATTATTACATTTTGAATGTAAGGCATGTGGCTTCATGTTCCATCTACTTTTTAGTTCTAGATTATTTCAATATCTATGGCGCTTGTATCGTTCAAGATTTTTATGTTAGTTATTTTTTGTATTTTAATTCTATTTACTTTATTAACTGGCTACATATACACAAACTACCAATTCGTAAAGACTACTTTAAGTACTTATACCTCATATTCTTCTAAGTTTAGTGACATTTCTCGTCTAGCAGACGGCTGGAAATCTGTTGGACATACTATTGATGAACAAAATTTACTTCATGATATGTCTATTGTCGTCGCTGCATGGCCTGAAAATGCTGAAGATAATATAATTACAGTGCCATGTTTATCAGCCGATGGCCATTTGCTTGTGTTAAGTGTTGGTGCAAGTCGTATACGGTATGGAGTAAGTCTAACTTTTATCACAGTCTATCCAACCGATATGAAAACTGTTTTACCAAAAAACATTTCATCTCATCCTCTCTCGTCAAATCAACAGAGTCTCTGGTGTATATTTAGTGATGGATCGGTGACACCTGTTTATACTTATGATTCTAAATATTACAGTGAACGGGTATCTCTTTTGGATTGTCCACTTAGTCAGTTTGCTAATGATCAGTTATGGAAGCTGAATCAAACAATACGAGTTTATCTTGCATCAACAACAACAAAAGATAGAAAAATACCTATACTCAAAGCATTTGTAAAAGTTCCAATAGTTTCTATCACTTCATCAAATTCTAGTCAAGAATCTTTTACATTATGTACTTCACCTTTACATAACAAAGCGAAATATTTAGTCCAATGGATCCAGTTTCATCGACTAGTTGGATTTAGTAAATTCATAATATATAATACA